GTGTATATATATTGTTATTATTTTAAAACAATAATACAGACTGTGCACTTTTACGTGTATTGACAAGATGTCAATAAAACTATATTAATTTTCTAGTTGTTGCGGTGGACATCCATCTGTACAGATATCTCCAAGCCGTTTGTTTTGGGGAATAACTTTTTATACTTTGGACAAAATGGGTTGGATCTTATGAAGGAGCTATTAGGGACCTTTGTAGAAATATCTTAGGATAATGAAGGGACTACAGATAACGGTAGATCAAAAGAAGCGACTACATCAAAGATAGCGGCGGATGTACATGGGGGCGTAGGTAGGCGTATTTTATGACTTAGTTGAGGCCTTTGCAGGTCCTTCCGTTATCTTTTCTTTGTCTTTTTTACTTTAATGTCACTCTGCAGTGTGTTAAACAAGTCATTTGATAAAATCAAGCATCTTTTTGAGATTACCTTGAAGTGAACTCGGAAAAGAAGGTGTTAGAGGATTTAAGTTTTTTTTTGTTTATATTAATAATATATTATATATAATCTTTATATTTTCGTGTGCACCTTACTATACTTAAGAAGCAAACTTATTTCCATACTCTACCTTTGTAAAATAAGATCTTCAATGAACAAGGATTTTAACATGATAGCGACAGGTTAGAGTAAAAAAATTAAGAGCAATAAAGGAATAAAATGGTTATTTGATATTTTGCCATGTTCAAATGAATATTTTCAACCCAAGACTATATTATATCCTTAATGACTAAGAATGGCACATGCTGTGATAAGAAAAATCTCTATGAAAGAGATAAAATTGATTAACAATAACTAATATTTCAAAAAACAAGCTTTCAGACTCAAACCGTTCTTCTACACAGGATAGATAGCCTGTAGAATAACGATCTACTTCTGAAAGCTTGCCTTTAAATATACAATAGAACCTCCCTGTAAAGAACACCTAATTGCAAAGCCTAAGTGCCCTTTAGGGAGAGGTGCCCTCTTACCAGAGAATTGCTAAATAGTAAAAAATGGTAATTTTGCAAATGAAAGCTGTCCTCTGTAGAGAGGTGTCCTCTAGCGTGAGTATCCTCTCATGGGGGTTCTACTGTATATGTATTGTTAAACCTATTTCATTGCTATTCCTTAAAGTTTTAAACAATTTTAAGTGTTTTTAAATATTTATTTTCGGTAGCATTAAAATCTAAGAAACATCTTCTCTCTATTTTAAAAAGAATCAATGTACAGGGTTATACAAATTTATTTACCGATTTATGTGCAAAAACTACAAAATATATTAATCCTTTTTTTCAATTATTTTATCAGCAGGTTTTTGCATTGTGTTTTGTGGTTTTAGAAACCCTTTTCGAATATGTTCAAATAACCCATAAAACTGGAGATTAAATTAATTTTCAATGAATACCATTGAATGACATTATTGAATGTCATTATATCATAGTAATTTACTATTGGTATTTATACAACATATATCGTTCCAGAAACCTCAACATTAACGAATTTTCATCTAAAAATCGAAATGTCTTTATAATAGAGATCCAACTTTGAACTTGTCTCTAGCCAGTATCTCCCTCAATTAAAGATAGGTCAAGAAAAGAGACAGGAAGTATCAATTTTGCATATTCCCATCAAAGCCCCAATTGTTGTAGTGGTGCTTCCTAAAAATCGAAAGCACAGATATATTTTTAAAAAAGGTAATAAATGAATGCATGTGCAAAATGTTATTAACATATTTCATCCCAAACCTTTGTAATGTGTGTTTTGTAAGGACATTTTTGGATACCTGTCGAAACCTGTTTTTCCCCGTTCTTTTCCAATTATACCATCTTGAATATGTTCTCTAGTGGTAAAGGAAAAAAAAACCTCCATGGATGTATCCAGGATTACTGGGATGTTCCCATCTCGTTCACTCAAATCTCTTCTTTCTACCCAACAACAGCCGCTGAGAGACACCGGATCTGGAATCCTGGTCCCTGGGAAGTAGATTAAGGGAAGTCCTGCCTGAAGGGGACAATTTAAAAATTCAAAGGGGCAAGTCGTCCGAAAAATTGTTCCCTCTCTCCCCTCGCCCCTCCGACTTCAGGGTCCATTCTTTTGTCCCCACCGCTCTTCTAGGTCCCTCGTGCACATTCCCCAATCGTCCAGCTAGCTGTCCCCGGGTAATAGACCTCAGTCTGCCTTGTAATTATACCGACTTACTGATATAATAGAGGATTTACAAGATAATGGTATACTGTGAAATATCTCTACAGAATAATTCATTAGGATATATGATGTTCTGTCACAGAACAATGTGTTAAATTGACATTTAATTATAATAATAATATATATAGTCACGACCGTCTTTCCTCATCGGCCTCTGTCACGGATGCGCGCGCACAGGGAGGTCACGTGCTCGCCGGCTCCCTCGAGCCGGATTTGAACCAGCGACCTAAGGATCACCGTTGTAACATCTACAGTCGGGTAAAACACGGGCGTTGCCCGGGTCATTCGGCTAGTGCGTTTATATCCAGGAAAACGTAATTAAAACACTTAACCTTAAACACGGATTGTTTGTACCAAAAGTGGCCTTTCTCCCTTTTGAAATCCTGAAGATAGAAGTTGCCTGGCCGGCATACATATTTCTGTGAAAAATAGACACTTCGGCCAGTTTAGCCGTTTAGCCCTTTTGAAATGTATTTAAAAAAGTAAAGCAATGCATTTAGGGTTATCACTCCTGTACAAAATGTAGAGTTAGTGATAATGAATGAGTCACAACATCAGTTAGGTCAAATTCACAGAAGCCAACCTGTTATATAAGAGTTTCGGGTTTTGACCTTCAAGGACGGCTTCGATTTCATGACATCCTTCGAGAAGCGTTATGATTAAGGTTTTATTAAATCCAAAGTAGTAAGGTTTCACTCTTTTTATTTGAAAAAAAAAAGAAAGATTTCCTAAGGATTCTTCAGTTCCTTCGGATATGTAATTAAAAGACCACAGGAGATATTATGATAACTTTTTATGAGATAAAATTCTAGGGTTGCTATAAAGATATCGCTCACTTACTCTTTTGAAGTTGAAAAACGGCTTCCAAATACGAATGAATAGAAGCATAATCTATGCCATAGAAAATAATAATAAAAAAAAATCATAGTTCATGCATTCTTGAGCGATAACGTTTTTTCCTTAATTGTGCGCAAATATATGATTAAAAATTGCAATTCTTTTTTTTTTTAAATGTGACAATTCAAATATGATAAATCTCCCTTAACAGTTTGGCCAAAAAAAAAAAAAAATTAAAATCGATATATAGGTTATAATTCTGATCAAAACAAGAATTTTTTCCCGATAACATTACAGTAAGGGTTACAAATTCGTGTCAAACTATTCCAGAATATGACAAAAGACAATATGAATTATCATAATCGTCTGTTTACAAATGATGCATATTCAAATATGGTAAAGTTCCCATAACACAGTCTGGCAAAAAAAAATATTAAAAAATCGACATATTCTGATCAAAATAAGAATGTTTTCACGATAACATTACAGTAAGGGTTACAAATTCGTGTCAAACTATTCCAGAATATGACAAAAGACAATATGAATTGTCATAATCGTCTGTTTACAAATGGTGCATATTCAAATATGGTAAAGTTCCCATAACACAGTCTGGCAAAAAATATTATTAAAAAATCTTACAGTAAGAGTTACGAATTCGTCTAACTATTCCAGAATGTGACAAAAAAACAATATGAATTGTCATGATCGTCTATTTACAAATGGTGAATATTCAAATATGGTAAATCTCTTTTAACACAGTTTGGCAAAAATACCTAAAAACTGACATATAGACATTTTCATCAAAACAAGATTTTCTTTCACGATATCAATACAGTAAGGGTTACGAATTCGTCCAACTATTCCAGAAAGACAATATGATTTTTTTTAATCGTCTGTTTACAAACGATGCATATTCAAATATGGTAAATCTCCCTTAAAAGTTTGGGAAAAATATTTAAAAATCGACATATAGGTTATAATTCTGATCAAAACAAGAATGTTTTCACGATGACATTACAGCAAGAGTTACGAATTCGTCCAACTATTTCTTGATCGTCTGTTTTTACAAATGATGCATATTCAAATATGATAAAGTTCCCATAACACACAGTCTGGCAAAAAAATACTTAAAAAATCGACATATAGATAATAATTCTCATCAGAATAGGAATGTTTTTCACGATGAGATTAAAGTAAGAGTTATGAATTCGTGCAAAACTATTCAAGAATATTATTGATTTTCAGTTGTAAGGTAGATGAGGAATGGTCGGAAAATTGATGATTCCAATCAAAATGGTGTCGGAATCCATCATCAACTTAGGCGTCAAATGGATGGTCTCACCTCACCGACAATTTGACCGATTGAGGGGGAGGTCTGGATCCATCGATGTCACATATTGGTTTGGCGACATCTGGTGTCCAGGTCAAATTTGTGGCCACGGGATTCCTATACTCCCACTTCTTCAGTTAACTCGTTATTTCTCTCTTATTGCTTCAAAATTGATCGGCTAAATACAATTTTGGAGTCCTCCTCTCTTCTTCTTGTTGATTCTTCTTCCTCTTTTTTTTTTTTTTTGTGATATAAATTACGAAATTTTTTTAGCGATTTTTTCGTTTAATAAAACAATTATCTACTATCTTTTTTTTTACTGTGATGAAAAAATCTTGGGAAGGGAAGCCTTACTTCTAAATTGGGTAGATCTTTCAACGATTTTGATAATTTTATCGCTATCATATTTTAGAATCTATATTTGTATTGTAACAGAATTTTTTTACTATAAGAAATTAAATTAATTTTAAAATAAATTCTACTGACCTTACTGCAATGATAAAATAATGGTAGTGCCTGGCTCATCAGTGGTGAACCCTTCATTTTTTCCGGTTTAATCTACCATCTACTTATATATTTGCCTTATTCTGTCTGTTTGTCTGTTTAAAGCTCACGGATGGGATTTTTCATAACCATCGGTGGTTCAGTGGTAGAATGTTCGCCTGCCACGCGGGCGGCCCGGGTTCGATTCCAAGCCGATGCATTTTTTTTTTTTTTTTTACAATTTTTAAAACTCATTTATATATTATACAAGAATGACATCCACGGCGCCAATTTATAATTGTAACGAATAGTATTTGAATAAAAGCATTTAATCGGGTAAAACCCGGGCGTTGCCCGGGTCATTCGTATATAATAATTGTATAAACGAATGAAAGACAAAATCACCGCGAATGTTTCTTTTTTTTAAGGCAATTATCGTTATTTATCGTTAATTTTTGTTTCGATTTTATTGAAAAAAAAAACGATATGGTGCCTTTAAAAAATGATCTTTATTACTATGCAGTTTTCTATTTAGTCAATATACCTAAGTTCATGTTGCAAATGTAATTATCTCTATCGATTTAGTAGGTGAAATGCAAAAAAAATCGACATGATGAAATCTTTATGAAAATTCACATTTTTATTTTTATATTTTCAAGACACACACAGTTTGGGGCGGGACGTTTCACAAGAGAGACATCCACGGCGCCAATTTATAATTGTAACGAATAGTATTTTAATTAAAACATTTTAAAAACACACAGTTTGGAACGGGACGTTTCACAAGAGTGACATCCATGGCGCCAATTTATATTTGTAACGAATAGTATTTGAATTAAAAAGTTTTTAAAATATATACGCACTCGGGTAAAACCCGGGCGTTGCCCGGGCCATTCGTCTAGTATAATAATAAAAACTGTTTATTGTATTGAGTTATTAATCACATTTTACTTATATATAATAGGAGAAATATTTTAAAAACATTTCACATCATTAAATTCAGTTGTAATAATTAATGCTGTAATAATCATGAATGCTAGGAAGGCAAACGTTCATTCGGAGATAAACCAGCGAAGCAGTGTCGAAATATATAATGGGAACTAATAATTTAAATTTGACACTGAATTTTTCATTTATAATTTTGAACTCAGTTAAAAATTCAATTGTTTAAATCCTTGATATTGTTCTGTTCATTCGGAATATTGAACATTTTTATTTTTAATGAAACAATTTAATAAAAAAATCTTTATATATATATATATAATTATAAAAATAAATAGTTGTATAGTTTTATAGTTAAGTATTCTATTAAAATTATCTTATTTGATTATTTAAATTCAAATTATAAAATTAGTAAATTGTTATTATTTAGTATAGATAGAGAGAAAAAAAAATCCTTTACTTCTAAAACATCATCTAGTTAATTATATATTTATAATTAATAACAATAAAATTTAACAACGTAACGTCTTTGCATCGGCTTTTACACGTCATTTAGACATACTCTAATCCTATATATAGAATAATCGAAGTGAGAATATATATAATAGTTAGAAAAAAGAGAGAAAGACAGAACCATGTACTTTTGATCAAACTAATAATAAGAAGATAAAAAGTTTTGTAAAGAAGGTAGTTAAGATTGTTAGTATATATATATATATATTTATAATTTTATATTTTATCCTTTTTTTTTAAATGATTTTTTTAAATTTTTTTATTTTAAAATATGAATATAAATAGTTGTATTTAGTAATATATCTATACTATGAATTAACTTTTGTTATAAGTTTGGTTATTATGTTTTGAAACCCTAATGGTAGACCAGACATATACAAAAAAATTAAATTGGAGTAATTATTGAAAAAAGAGGTCTGCTGAACCGGGAATTCTCAAATAGAAGTTCAGCGGCGTTTCATCCCTTCTCTATTACGTCATAGACCTCTTTTCAACCTGATTTTATGTGTTAATATAAAGTTACTTCAGTGAAACATTTATATGAACATATATAACGAATATGAGTGTTACCAAATTCTTACTGTGAACCTACCTTGACCGCGCCGCCTTCAACTGTAAACATCTATTTCTGGATGACACATGTTGTGGGGGGTGGGGGACAAAATTAGATCGTCCATTTTGAAGTTTTAGAACAACAAGATATTGAAAGAAGAAATAAAAGATAGTTAAGGGAAGAAATCCAAACTTTATAATCTTTACAGCCAGTTATATTAAAATAACTGATTCAACACTTATTCATCTTTCAATATTCCTTTAAAAAGGCAAACTATTAGAGTTTAATAAAGCTATTAATTGTGAAAATTCACTTTTATTTAATTTCCATTTTCCTCCCCAGAAATTGGAGATTAAACAAAATGAATTCTATACAATATTACTTTAAAAATCTTGTGAAAAAATCTTCAAATCAGCTATTTAATTTAAGTTTAACTAATTGTTAAAGATTATAAATTTGTAGTATTTATTATTGAGAGAAATTATAGTAAGTTGATTTAATAAATGGATACTTCCATTTATTTTTTTTAAAGTATTTTATAATTGATATACTGTTGAAGTATTTTACTTGTCTGATACTAAATTTGTTTTTAATAAATTCCATGTTTAAATTTTTAACATCTTCTATGAAATTTTCTAATATATTATTTATTCTATAAAATCTTAGAAACTGACCAAAATATATACCTTTACAGCAATTTAATGAAATATTAGAATTCATTTTACAGTATTTTATAATATTGAAATTATAATTACTTTTTTTATTATAAATTTTAATAGCATTATTTGTAAGGTCTATATTTAGGTCTAAAAAGTTAACTTTTTTGTTTCTATAAATTTTTTCATTGTTCTTAAGTTTTAAGTATTTAGGATAAATTTTAGGTATTAAGTTTTTGAACTGTGGATTATTAAATATTATGATGTCATCTACATAGCGGAACATTTGCCAGTTAACATTATTTTGTAGAAAGTATTCTCTTTCGTACCAGAATAATATTAAGTTTGCTAATAAAGGACTAGAAGATGTTCCCATGGGAACGCCTTCTGATTGAATATATATTTTATTTTTAAATTCTATATAGTTAAAATTTAAAAATGTTTCCAGTAGAGTTTTTGCTGTTTTAAGATCTAATTTAATTGTTTTATATCTGTTATGAATAATTTTAATGTGGAAAGTTTTGTCATTAATGATTTCGTTAAATAAATTGGTTATTTTATTATTTAGATCTCTTAAATTTATTTTAGAATATAGGTCCTCAAAGTCAAATGTGTGTACTGTTTCCATGTTTGTCCAATTGTTTATTAAATAGTTAATGATTTTTTTATTTGAGTCGATAAATTTATAATTATATTTATTAGTTAATTTATTTATAATAAATTGTAGTGTTGAAGCTAATTGTATATCAATGTTTTTTATAACTGAATTTATACCAGATGTGATTGTTCTGAAAGAAATAGGTTTTTTGTGTAGTTTAGGAATTATATAGAACTTTGGTATGTTTGGATTTTTGTAGTGATTATACATTTTTAGTGAATTTTCAACGTTTTTGATGTCTTTTTTGATTTTTGTGGCTGTAGTTCTAGCAAAAGTGTATTTATGATTATTATCAATTTCCTTTTTTAGTATATCGTGGTATAGATTTTTACAAATTATAGATAAGTTATTGGAACATTTATCTATAGGAGTGATAATAAAGTCCTTCTGTAATTTAATTATATTTTCTTTAAAAGAAGGAATATCTGAATTAGGTTTTGTGTATTTAAGTGTATTATTATAATAATTTATAATTTCCTTTTTAATATTATGTTTCCATTCTAGAAAAGTAAATTCTGGAATACTGTATTTTATACTAGTTTTATTTATGAAAATATCTATATCTTTTAATATAGATTTAATTGTGTTACGCAAACTTTGACTTTAATCATCATAGATGCTGACGTCACTACGATGACGTAACTTCCAACTACTACCCTTCAACCTTGCTGTTATTGTTTACCGCTAACTTGTCTTAACAATATATGTAATGGAACAAGTCGTTCCTTAAATAAATATATATTTGTTTTTATCTAAAGGGATGTCCTCGTAACTACAACATACGTGAGTACCATAACAACCAGAAATCCTCAAAAGAATAACCTATTTTGCTAAGCCTACATCAATTTGGTAGCAGTGCGTTGTTTGGGCGCGCGAATTGGACTAACCGCCAATTGATCCATTTAAATCATAAAGAAAATTAAATAATTGGACTAACCGCCAATTTAGAAAGAAAAAAGTTGAATAAAAATGGATACACATAACTTAGCAAAAATCGAACAGTTAACAGAAAACAACTATACCACGTGGTCCATGAAAATGGAAGCAATTCTAGATTCAAAAGATCTCTTCGAGGACGTAATTGTTAATGACGAGCCAGACTTTACAAAAAATAAACTAGAATATGATATTTGGAAGAAAAAGAATCGGGAAGCATACAGCCTAATAATATTGTCACTTTCGGATGACTTAACAATCATCTTTCGAGGCGATAAAAGAGCCAAAAGAATTTGGTACGACATAAAGAAAAGGTTTGAAGGATCTCTAGAAAATAAAAGGATAGACCTAATGTTGGATCTAGCCAGACTAAAATTGAACCCAAATGAAAATGTCAACATGTATATTGTACGAGCACAGAAACTGGCACAAGAGATCACCCAGCTAGGAAAGACTGTAACAGAAAGAGAACTTGTACGATACATTGTTGAAGGACTCACACCTAACTTTGACACGATCGCAGCAGCACTGTCAATAAACAGAGAAATCTCCTTACCAGACTTGAGACAAACTCTACTGGATTTCGAGAAGAAAAGACAGGACAGAAGCAAAAATCCTGAAAATGCTTTCAGATCATCAGGCAACCAATTCAAAGAAAAATCATGCTTCATTTGCAAAAGAAAAGGACATTTCAAGAAAGACTGTTGGTTCAACCCTGACAACAAAGGAAATCAAAATAATACAACAAACAAAAATAACATGGCCAGTACAAGGAACTACCATAAAGGACCAAAACAAAACCAAGACACAGCCAGATCAGCAATCCAAGAACGAACGGAGGAACCATCCCAACGAAGAGACTCCACTTCAGAATACGCACTACATGCAAGCACAAGGGAGGAACGCCCGACAACTCAGGACGTGTGGATAATTGATTCTGCGTGCACAAGCCACATGACTTC